AATGCACTTTTATGTAGAAATCCATGATTAAATCGAGTCTTCCTGACTAGTGATTTAAATCAAATCCAACCTGTTATATTCCAGATATGCTAAATATTCATATGCCCCTTTATGCTTCAACTTGTCGGCTCTAAAATTTTACATTGTTTTGGTTTTGACTGAAGTAAAAAAAAAAAATTCTACATTTGTAGAATGCACTTTCACGATAAAGAGATTACACTATAGTACTTGTATGAGGTGAAACAAAAATAATTTTTCAATTTTTTACAGTGCAGATATTTGTAATAAAAATATAAGGTGACCATTGTACACTTCGTATTCTGTAACTGAAATCAATATATTTAAAAATGTAGAAAAACATCCTAAAATATTTATAATAGAATACCAATGTAAAATTTATTATTGTTTAACAGTGCAATTAAAACTGAGATTAATTGCAACTTTTTTTTTAATCATTTGACAGCCCTACAAATAATGTGTTCAATAGCCCAACTATATAATTTAAAGTGGCTAACCAGTGAATTTTCAGACAGGCTTTTTAACTGAACTGTAAGAAATACCTAGAACACTGAAGTTGTACTTACGATATATATAAATTTTTGCCGATACTAATACTGATGTGTTTTCTGTTCAGTCAGAGATGCAATTTTTTGGAAACATTTCTAAATAACTAGAACTGATTTCTGGAGAGATTGGTAAATCTGGCTTCTTCTACTTCAACATCACATAAAAATGCATCTAGAACTACATGATAAGCTTCTTTAAAGGATTTAATCTCTATATTTTCTCCATCTGGAAACTTTAATTTAACTGAAGTCAGTGGGAGCCTTTTCATTTACAACAAAGGTCTCTGGATGTGTCTGTTAGGCATAATCAGAGTTCGTTGCACTAGTCCAGGGGTCGGCAGCACGCGAGCTAACTTTCAGTGGCATTCACACTGCCTCGGTCCTGGCCACCGGTCTGGAGGTCTCTGCATTTTAATTTAATTTTAAATGAAGCTTCTTAAACATTTTAAAAACCTTATTTACTTTATATACAACAACAGTTTAGTTATATATTAAAGGCTTATAGAAAGAGACCTTCTAAAAACATTTCAATGTATTACTGGCATGCAAAACCTTAAATTAGAGGGAATAAATGAAGACTCCGCACACCACTTCTGAAAGGTTGCCGACCCCTGCACTCGTGTCTGCCCAAACCAACTCTTCTCCACCTACAGAATCACTACTGTGAACAAAGTCTCTCCCTCTTCTTCCAGCTCTGATTATTAAACATGGCTTCTCAGAAGAAAAATCTGTGCACACACTGTGCAGTATGATTCTGTACTACAGACATACTAGAAAACCAGAGGATCTCAATGTGCTTTGCCTAGCTCATTTGGAAAAGAGAGTTTACATTCTCATTTTACAGATCAACAAATTGAAGCACAGAGAGATTAAAATGACTTGCCCACAGTCACACAGGAAAATCTGTGGCAGAGTCAGGAATAGAAGCCTGAACTCCTGACTCCCAGTCCTATGCTTTAACCACAAGACCATCCTTCCTTCCTCTCTCTGGCAGATGTAATTTGTAGTTTTAGAGATTTTTACTAAAAGCAATGGCAGCCTCAAGAGCTGTTTAAGAAAACCCAACCTTTTAAGTAATTTGTGCCTGTGCTGCGCACACTGCATTTGACTAAGTTTTATGAGATGATCAGACTTTTTACTTAAAATGAAAGATTAAAAAAAAAAAAAGTTCCCCAAGCCTCTTGAGACCTACCTAGAAAACCCACTGTCTGTAGAACATAGCAAGGATCTTCCACTGTTGTGGAGTCTATCTAAGAAGTAATTGGAGGCAACAGAACTCAAGCATTGATGAAGGCTAAACAATCTTTTGTTACCATCCAATTCTCTGAGAGCCCAAGATTATGTCTAGACTGATCACCGAAGACAATTGTGTTTAAAGGTATAATGTTCAATGCATCCTTTACCATTCACCACAAGAGATGAGTTATTCTCCAGCTAACCAAAGTGAGAAGGTATCTGCAGCTTCTTGACTGACTAGCTTTGATGGGGGAAGCGTCTCTTTTTTTGTCTTCCATGGTAAGACAAGTACAAGGAGCTTCCATCCTGCTCCAAACAGAGAATAGATACAACAGAAATGGAGTGAGTTTATCCCCATCTTAGCATTTGCCTTTGTTACTATAAACACCACTGCCACCACATAAATCTCAGCTTCCTCCCGTATTTGGTTATTCTGAGAACCTTTCTTTATGCCCCAGAGAGATGCCCCCAACCTCTTTTATATCCTAGGTTGAAGTTAGTAAGACTCACTTGACCAGATGTCAGATAGAGCCAGCAAAAAGAATTCTGCATTTCAGGATTCTAATACCAGACAAAGTTAGTCATTAAGAGAAAGACCTGCATGCAGGGTACTCCACCCCATTACAATGGCCTTTTTGCTGACTAGGTCAATCCATCACAAAGCCAGCCCGCATAACCTAAATCACATATATTCTGTAGGATTGAGCCATTTGAGTTACCATCTCTTACTGTGAGCCATGTGTACAAATGATTTAATTCTGCAAGCAGATAATATATTTAAAGCCTGTAGTAAGGTTACTGGGTAAACTCTAAGCTTTTTTTTTTTTTAATTTAAAAAATAAAATAAAGTGAGATTTTTAGGATCAAAGACAGACAATATTTACCTTTTAGTGAATGAGACTGAAGCGCTGGTTATAATTTTGTAACATCAACTACATTTACGGCCAAACTGTACCCTGAGATTTTTTATATCCTTCGAAGAATAAAGTATATTAGAATGAACTTCAAAACGTTCTAGATTTAGAAAAAATATAATTAAAAAACCCAACAGCTTTTTAGGACAGTTTACAATATTGTAAATGTTAATAATAATATTTTTGGGCTAAATTTTTCAAGGAGCCTCAACTTGGATGCAAAACTGCAAGTGCTAGTAGTTGTGAGGGTAACAAACCAACCAAACCAAATATGAAGAGTTCTAGCTACCTAATTTTTGGTCACAATCAGGCAGGTTTACATTTAAATATTATAATTGGCATTCACAGTGAATTAAATACATTTAACTGATCAAAGGTACAAAATTAGAAAAAAACCCTACAAAATTATGGTTCTTTATGGGGGGGAAGGTGGGAGTGTCAGGTCTCCTTTTTTCCCACTTATCTTTTCTTTTCGTTAATTCTTTTCAGGGTGTTCATGCACAAATACATCAAATTAAAAATGTCCTTTTTACAATTCTATGTATTTACATTCCCTAGATTATAGGTATGTCCTGAGACTTCCAACCTCCCTCGTTCTCTCTCTCCCTCAAGTTTAACAGCCCCCCGAGTTCCCACAAACACCTCTAATGCAGCATGGCAATAATGCCTCTGAAGTGCTGCATCAGCAATTGTCACAAAGGATTCTGGGATCAGCATAAAGATCTTTCCTAAGGATTAAAAGGAGACCAGTAGGGAAACTGGGATGATTGCAAAGATGGATGGAAGACAAAGGGAAGAGGGAGTTTCAGAACATAAATTTAAAACAAAAAATAAAAATGAGCTGGTGTGTGACCTGTGTTTCCTTCACGGCCATAATTATTTGTGAATTGCCATTGCTCAGTGCAATTCACATAGCTGTACACGAATGGAAACAACAGACAAATTCTAAATCCAAGGAGAGCTACTTGTGTCAAGCTGCAGCCTCTCTCTTTACCTATTTTGATAGTCTAAAGCTATGAGAACAGTAGCTGCAAAAGCATTTGAGATGGTGCCCCGTCCTTCAAACAACTGCTGCCACTTAATTGCACTGAAATTTAAAAAAACAGACACACACACACACACACAAAATACAGCCATCAAGGGCTTGTCTAAGAGTCCTCAATTCCTGATGAATAAACCCCCCAAATTCCGTAGTTCTGAATTTTGCACACCCACCTTTTATTTGAGAGACAGATGGGAGAGCTGCTGGATGGTCTGACTACCTCACACTTTTCAGGTTATTATGGAATACGTACAGTTTTTTAAAAATGTTCTCAGGTGAAAAAGTATAAGCAAAATGACCTCCCAGGCTGCCAGTGATAGGCCCAGAACAGATTTTGTGGTTCTACACAGTCAGCACTCTCCTCTCAAATAAAAATAAAAATAGAACCCACACAGATGAGGTGATGGTAGTGAAAGAATGCAGAGTCAGGAACAGCTACCATGGAAGGTCAGAGCATCAGCATAATAAAGGCATTGAACTCACCTTACAGCTGAGAAATCACAGTGTAAAAGTAATTAGAAAATTGTACTTTTTATTTTAGATTATGTCACATGTCAACAACTTCACCTTCCTGTAGGCCTTCAGTGCATTCCATTTTTGGATGAACCATATGGACATGCCTGAGGTGCAACTAGAAGATTTTCACAAGACATCACCACTGAAGTTGATAAGGCATATTTAAGGCCAGTTAGTCTGTTCTGCCAGTTTGATGTATTGCTGATTTATTAAACTCAGCATAAACTGGGATGAAGGGTGTCCTTGAATTTCATGAAAATGCTTATAAGCACCACTTTTCTGTTTCTGAATTGCCTGTCTCTTTATCCTATACTAGTCCTCTATGCACACATTCTGACATCACAAAATGACATGAAAGAACACTGGTAGTGAAACTAAAAGGGGAATATTAAGAGTATTGGAATGACATCTGTTGCATAATATCTTTTGTTCTAATGGGCTCCTACAGATTACACCAGCACAGAATTTATGCTCAGGCCTCTGCTTCATCTCCCAGACTCTCATTTACCCTCTATCAATTAAGCACCAACAGATGGGTGCAAGTTATATTGATCAGAACATGACAAAGCAACAGAACAGTCCTTGTCCCTGGAATGCTTATTCTTCTAAAGCATTAATTGTGTACATCAGTTTAACACCACCTCTTTCACAGCACATTGCTTTATGATGATCCAGATTTAAAATGTATAAATTCTGCTTAGGCGTTTATACATTCCAGTATTGTACCTTGACATCCAGTTTTCCCAAACGCTGTAAAATCCAGATACGGTGGGACCAGGCATTGTAGTTGCTTGGGTATCTCCCAGCAGCTTCACAGCAGACATCCATTTCCTCCTGCACTAATCGTTGAATTCTTTCCACAGGCATTGTTCCCAAGTTCCCTTTAGTTACAAGAGTTGGCAAGGAGTTTTCCTGAATTAGTTGTTGCAGCACCCATCGTCTGGTTAAATGGTGTAGAGGGTTAACAATGCAAAAGCAGTTTTAAGAGAAAAAAACATTTTGTTCCTTATTTCACTATATAAATTGACCAAAATATGTGGAGTTTTCCATCATCTTAATTCAGGGTAAACTGGAGGTTGGGGGAAGAAACAGACTAAACATAAAACCTGTGAGCTATTCAGATACAGAAAGTCTTCAGTTAATGGACACATTTAACAGTGTCTAACTTCAGCTCTCTTTTTTATTTATGGTTATTGGTCATATCCAATCTTGAGAATTTGGGGAAGTCAATAAAAAAAAAGTTACCAAAATAACTGAATATACAAAATTCGCCAAAAAAAATCATGGAATATTTAAATAAGATTTTGAAGAATTCCCTTTTCACAAGACATCCATCGTGTTAAAGTGAGGTTTTATGCTGAAAAGGGATTATGTACAAATACATTCTTACTCAACAGATCTGCACCCTGTGTGGATTCAGTTATATCTACTGACTTTAGTCACAAAAGAAAAAAAGACTTCACTGCTTTTTACTCCTTAGCCCCGCAGAGTCACTACAGCTAAGAGCAATTGAATGGGATTCTATTTCTTCTTGTGTATCATTAACAGAACTGTTTACTAATTTCCAATCAGTTACACTTGTGCTACACTGAAAGCAATGGACGTACACAGGCATCAATTTCTCCTGCAGAACCCTTTATTACTGGTGATGATATAGAAGGAATAAATAAAAGAAACCCAGCTTAACTCGGAGGTCCCAGGCAGAGATTGCTGGGCTAGCAGTTAGGAAAAAAAACACCTTTTTACTAGGAAATTAGTCACATTTAAGCTGGAATTGTTGAGACAAACAGATTCCCCCATTGTATTTTATTTGTAATAGGCACTTTAGAGTAGAATTGCATTTTAAGAAAGTCACTGCCTCAAAACTACAACAGATGTACTGACTGCTTAGACAACCTTTGTGTCAAAGTAAAGCTGCTAACAAGTATATTTGTCCTATCAAATTAATTTCAAATATCTTTTATTAAAAAAGGTATTGCAGACATAGGATGGTCAACGACAGCATGTAAACAGATAGTGCTGCAAGAGGGGATTCTATGGAAAGCTGAGTGGAACTCTCGATCAGGACCTACAAGCTTTAACAGCTGAGACCGAAAAAGTTACTCCCTTTTATCCACTTTGGTAGCATTTGAAATGACAGTGAGCCAACACAATGTCATTCCATCTGCTTGAAGAAAGGTGAACTTTTTCCTTAATAAAGCTTTAAAAATTAAAGTTAACCAGTCAAAAATAGCTTATTCATAAGATTACAAAATTGTATAAAACTCACTAAGTGACAGCATCAACTTGAAATCTAACTGGTTTAACAAAAGTGGTTTCAGGTACTCCATCTGCTCCACAGTCTTTCTGCCAACTTTTGTTATTTTACATTCTCCTGCCCTGTCCCCCCCGCTTCTTTTTTAAGAATGTCTCTCTCCCCCGATTAGTGTGTGCAAAACCCACGTCAAGAACAGAAGAAACTTGCTGACCAAATACTGTATAGGAGAAACATTAAAAACTAACTATATATAAATATCATTCAGTAACCTTGGCTGTTACTTAGAAAACAATAGTAGATAAAATTTTGAGAGGGGAATGTGATTTTTAAATTGACTGCCTCTCTAATCTGAGATCAAGAACACTGGATCACGCCTGTTATTCGTAAGTTTGCTTCTGATATGACATTCATTGTAGCTGAAGGAGGGCAGCAGGTCAAACCACAATCTTTGATTACTTCATTTAGAAGAGCAGATCCATGTCACAAATGCAGCAAAACCTATGATACCCAAACATGTTTTTTTTGCTGCTCACATACCTCAAAGTGCCAAAATGCAAAAGTGGGACATAGTGAGTGACAAAGACCCAAAATGAGAGACAAAATCTGTTTATGCAGGAAAATTAAATGGCCAAAGAGTCATTCCTTTAACATAAATAAAGCATAAAATAACTAACTTCTGATTCTTTATTTCCAGGTAAATAACTTTTAATACTAAATGTGAAGGGCAAAAATGTGTGTGAAGGAACACCTGACTTTTCTTTATTTCTTAAGAATGTCACTGTTTGAGAACGACATACTTGACTTCAGGTACATTATATATTACATGGTGCAGTTAATAGTCCAGCATTGTCTAACATGAAGGAGTTTGAGGCAGCTATCACTAAATCATGGCACTTGCAACTTATTTCTCTCCTCTCCATCACATCTACCTTCCTTTTCATTTTGTATAATGTAGTTACATAAAGCAAAGCAGTCAAATAGCGTGAATAAAGTAGAGGTGGTAAAAAGAAATTGCAGGATTAGAAAGTTAAAAACCAGCATAACTACAATTAAATTCTTCAATTCTGGTTCCACACCAACACTATTAAAGCAAAATACCAGAAAGGGATGTGTGCGTGCATGTGTGTCTAACTAATCCTGGCAGAATTCAATTTTTTTCTATTTTTACTTTTAAGATTTTCTTTTGATTTTCATTTTTACAGCTGTGGTGGGTAGGGTTGGGGACAGGGCAGTATTAACACTACGGTTGCAGGGAACTCTCTGTGTGGCTGAGGACACCAGGGTACAACATGTGGGGGAGGCTGCAGTTGTCCTGGCCCAGTGGAGCAGAGACCCCTGGTCAGGACTGTAAGAAGGAGGAGGAGCCCCCACCTCAAAGGGAAGTCCACCCCGCTGCTGAACAGTTTCTGCCTGGGAATGGCTCTGACACTCCTAGATAGTGAGTGAGTGGATGAGACTGTGACAACAGAGCTGCAGAGGGCTCCCTGCATGGTTACAGGGCCAGTGACACTGGATCCCTGAAGGCACAAGGTCTGAGGAAGGCTGGGCTCCCGGTGGGGTGTAGTAGAGACCCCTAGTCAGTGCCATGAGGAGGAACTGTCCCTGGCTGCAGGGGACACCACATCACTGCTGAATGGCTTGTGGTCAGGGACAGAGCCATTCAGCAGTGGGGTGACCTCCTCCACAGCCAGGGACAAGGACAACAACTTCTCGCAGATCTGGCTAGGGTCTCTGCTCCACTGGGCCAGAACTACATCCTTCCCCTACCATATGCCTGCAGGCATCAGGCGTCACCAGCCCCAAACACCACCAGGAGTGTGGGAGCCATCCCGAGGCATTTGGGATTTGATGCATTTGACTGAGCACTGGGTTGCTTTTTTATTTTAGAAAAATACCTTTTGTTATTGCTCAGTAAGGGAGACATTGTCATTGCATAATCCCATGGCTGGTGAAAATATAGTCATAAGGAAAAATATCAGAGTACAGTAATGGGATATAACCTAGCTACAATTACAAAATTTATTTTTTAATGTATCCTGGTTCTCTGGCAGGTCTACAATATAAACAGGTTAATGGCAAATAAAAAAAAGTAAAATATGGAAAACCTAGCATTAATTTGATGGCAATTTTCAAGCAGTCACACTGGGAATACAAAACGAAGAAAAAATTACACACCACTCTAGTTATATTAAAAGACATGTAACATGCAGAAACACATATTTGACTTGAACACTAAGTCCTACACATAGTTGATCAGATTCTTAAAAAAAAAAAAAAGAGCAATGAATTTTACACTAGATTGTTTGGAAATCTGCTGTTTCCAGATGCTTGCCTCCATTCACCAGCTTCCCTACCCCAAACTCAGATAGAAGTATGAAAATATATTGGGGGGGAAGGCGGGGAGGGAAGGGAAGGAAAGGGAAGAGAAAAAAAGAGAAACCTGTGAATCCATGTTTCTGGGCTTTTCGGAAACTTAGTTAATGCCAGTTTTCCAAGATGTAAATCCTTAACTGGACTTAAAGTGCCAGATAATATTAGTTCTTTCCTGCGAAAGAAAAAAACATTCCATTTGTACACCTAATTTAAGGGTGCATGTCATTTTCTTTGAAACATAATACAGCCAACTATGATATCCAGAATATAAACCTTAAAAATTACAAAAACTTCAAATTGATAAAGCCATTTTACTGTAACAAGATAGAGTGTTTTCAAAGTAAAAATCTGTGTTCTACGTTTTGAATTGGACAAACGGTCTATATTTCTGTCCATGGTAATTCATCCTGAAATGATGACCCAACTTTACAAAGTGGATCTGTTCCTGAGTTGCACAATATTTTGCAGTAGAAAACTTAACATGTGCTATCATTGGCATACAAAACAATTTTTTGACTGATTAAGGTTAATTTTATACACCCTAGAGCTATCTTCCAAAGCCTTCCCATAAGATATACACATTTCAAAAAGACAGTTATGCACAAGCAAGCTTCACTGATGTCAACAGAAGTTACATATATGTAATTGATAATTAAAAGCTACAAAAGACAAGCACTCATGAAATTACTATTGTGATTCAAGACAGTAGCATCACTATTATTTTACATTTTAAAAGCATCTTAATGAAATAATTCTCTACACAAATATAAATAGATTGAAACAGGGTTTAAGGTTGGTATTAGGAATCACTAACTTAGAGGCCAAAAAAAAAAAAAAATTATATATCTCAATTAAAAGTTACTGTAGGGTTGTTTTTGCTGGTTTTTAAAATCAATTTGGAAAGCCAGACAATTCTAGGTTTAGTTACTCGTTAACATAATATTTAGTAAAAGACTTCCCAAACCTTAATTCTCATCCTGTCTGTCACAACCCCTCCCCTGCACACTTGTGAGACAGACACATTATGGTGAAATCTTTGAGAAGCCTGAAGCTATATGGATTTCATATCAGTCCAGACACCTGCATAGCAATGAGATGCTGCCGGCACAAAGCTCGATTCTGAGCACTGGGAGACCTGAGCACTGGGAGCACTGAGAACCCTTAAGCATATGCTTAGATAAGAATGAGTAGTTCAATGAAAGTAAAGAAAAAAATGCCTAACGTATTTCCACAGAGGTCTGATTTAATTCCCCCATGCATGTCTAAAGAATGAAAGGAGGTTGAAAATTTTCATTCTAAAAGATGTCAATGTGACAGCACTAGTAAATGAAGTCAGTTATTTCTAGAACAACCAGATCTTTTAAATGAGAAACTAGGACAGCTACTTCAGAACAGGACGGAAAAAAGGGGAAAGTATGGCATAGGATGGCTTAACTGATGGGAGAGAAAAGAGAGCACCCCTTTTTTTTTTTCTCCTTCTTCCCATTACCCTCCCCTGTTTCAGGATTAAAAGCATACCATGTTACAATAAGATGTGGCTGCAAGAAAAACAGTATCCCCTCACTATCCCCTTTACTGTTATCTCCCAGGTCCAAACCTGCAACTGTATTTTTACACTATGGCCCCAATCCAGCAAAGCCTTAAGCATATGATTAACTTTAAGCAAATGAGCATGGTCTCACATTCTAGAATGGAATTACTCATGTCAATGTCCTTAAAGTTGAGCCTGCCTTTAAATGTTTGCTGGATCAGGAGCTATATCGGCGGGCCCAGTTCCATCCACCCACCCACACAACCAACCTCCCCTGCTCTAAGACCAACTTTATTTATTGCTCTTACGGTCCCTCACCTATGTTTCATATTCTTATATTTTCTATCCTTTTGCCTAGCTATCTCAAAGACAACATGACCATTGTGTAGAAGCTAAATGAATTCTTTCCAGCAGTCTTCACTGCAGTTGATGTGAGGGAGATTTCCACACCTGAGCCATTCTTTTTAGGTGACAAATCTGAGGAACTGTCCCAGACTGAGGTGTAAGTAGAGTAAGTTTTGCAACACATTGATAAATTATACCGTAAGTCACTAGAACCAGATGATATTCACCCAAGAGTTCTGAAGGTACTCAACTATGAAACTGCAGAATTATTACCTTTGGTTTGTAACCTATCGCTTACCAGGTGACTGGAGGATAGCTAATGTAATGCAGATTTTTAAAGAAGGCTCCAGAGGCAATCTTGGCAATTACAGGTTGGTAAGCCTAACTTCAGTACCAGGCAAACTAGTTGAAACTACAACAAAGAACAAAATTATCATGTACAGCTATGTATCTGATAAGTTGGGGAAGAGTCAACATAGCTTTTGTAAAGGAAAATCATGCCTCGCCAATCTATTTGAATTCTTTGCGGGGGTCAACAAGCATGTGGGCAAAGGTGATTTAGTTGATATAGAGTACTTGGACTTTCAGAAAACCTTTGACAAGGTACCAGACCAAAGGCTCTTAAGCGAAGTAAGCAGTCCTGGGATAAAAAGGGAAGGTCTTCTCATGGCTAGATAACTGGTTAAAAGATAGGGCACAAAGAGTAGGAATGGTCAATTTTCATGAGAGAGACGTAATTAGCAGGGTAGTCCAAGAATCCGTACTGGGATCTGTGTGTTGAACATTTTCATACATGATCTGGAAAAAAGGCTTAAGGGTGAGGTGGCAAAGTTTGCAGATGATACAAAATTACTCAAGATAGGTAAGTCCAAAACTGACTGCAAAGAGATCTCACAAAACTGGGTGACTTGACAACAAAATAGTACATAAAATTAAATGCTGATAAGTGCAAAATAATGCACATTGGAAAACAATCTCAACTATACATCCAAAATGCCAAGATCTAAATTAGATGTTACCACTCAAGAAAGATCTTGGAGTCTCTATGGATAGTTCTCTGAAAACATCTACTCACTGTGCAGTGGCAGAAATAAAGCTAACAATGTTAGGAACTATTAGTAAGGGGATAGATAAGACAGTAAATATCAAAATGCTACTATATAAATCCATGGTATGCCCACACTTTGAATACTGTGTGAAGTTGTGGCCACCCCATCTCAAAAGAGATATATTATAATTGGAAAAGGTGCAGAGAAAGGCAATGAAAATTATTGGTGTATAGAACAACTTCCATATGAGGAGAGATTAAAAAAAGACAGGAAAGAGAAAAAGACGACTAAGTGGGGATATGACAGAGGTCTATAAAATCATGAATGGCATGGAGAAAGTGAATAGGAAGTGTTATTTACCCACCACATAACACAATAGGCAGCAGGTTTAAAACTTACACAATGTACGGTCAATCTGTTCAGCTCATTGGCAGGGGATGTTGTGAAGGTCAAAAGTATAAATGGGTTAAAAAAAAAGAATGGAGATAAGTTCATGGAGGATAGATCCCTCAATGGCTATAAACCAAGATGGTCAGATGCAATCCCATGCTTCGTGTGTCCCTAATCCTCTGACTGCCAGAAGCTGGGACTGGACGACACAGGATGGATTACTTGATAACTGCCTTGTTCTGCTCATTCCTTCTGAAGCAACCTGGCAATGGCCATTGGTCAGAAGGCAGAATATTGGCCTAGATGGACCATTAGTCTGACCCAGTATGCACATTATGTTCTTGTATACTTCCATTAAAAAAAAAAAATGGATTCAACTTTCAGCAGCAATACAGCTACAGAGAACATTACTTATAGCAACACCTGAGAAGTTCACATATGGGTTCAATGGTGGTTTTTCTGTTTAAAAGCCTCATGAACTTTATCATTTCAAGAATACCCGAAGATACATTTTTCTCATGATAGCCAACCCTTTACTATGACTGCCACATTTCCCTTTTCTTTAATCAATGACACTTCAAAAATCAGTTCATAGCACCAACCTGGATAATTATATTATAGGCTGGGAAAAAAATACTTGCTTTATCTGGATCTGACAGCTATTCACCACAAATACAGTCTTAATGGGCTGATTTCTTTATTTTTCCAACTGCAAGAAACCTATTGAACTGAGCAAATCTCCATGTCTAAACATTTAAAACCACCTAAATTTAAAGCGGCAATTTCTTGTTTAAAACCCCCCAAACTATTATTTAAAACTGTCCCTGGCCCTTGTGTGCGGGTGGAAAGAATATGGAAAGAGCCTTTCCCCGCTTCTGTGCCCTGGTGCAAGGGGGATCAATTGCTGTCTCTGTGCTTAGGGGAGTGCAATGAACTGCTTCTATTGGGCATCGCCAGGAAGAGGGAGGGAAGTCCCTGCGCCTCCTCTGTGTACACTGGGAAAGTAGGGCTATGCTATGGTCAAGCCTGCACAGTTCCTATGTGGACTGAAAAAATCAGAGGACATGCTTGGGATAGTTCATATCCGCATCCCTTCTCCCATTTAGAGGTATGTCTAAATATCATAGTATGACTCAGAGTCTGATATTCAGCTTGGACGACCAGCCGTGCCATTAGAAAATGGAATATCGGAGTCTCAAAATAATCAAGGTGTGACACCCTGATGGAGGTAAAATTAAAACAATGACAGCTATGGAGAAGGTCAATCTCACGTTTGCAACAAACGAATTAGGGGGAAGTGTGAAGGCGGTACCAATTACAGAAAAGCTGAGGGAAACCCAGCTTAGATGGTTTGGGCATGTGAAAAGATCAGAAGTATGTAGAGGAAACAGGGCACTAAACTTAGAAGTGGAGGGTAAGAGAAGGGTTGGAAGACCCAGAACTATATGGATGGATGTTATACAAAAAGATTTGATTAGCTGCAGAGTATCTGAGGAACTGGCTCAAGACAGACTGGAATGGAGAAGGACTCAAAAAAGCTGACCCCCATATAGAGGGGACTAAGGCTAGAAGCAGCAGCAGCAATGAAGGTCAATCAAGCACCTTCTCTCACAATACTGGAACAAGGAGACATCTAATTAAAAGGCAGAAAACTGCCTTTAATAACTGATAGAAGAAATAGTAACCCTTTCTTTCTCTTTTACACAACATATAATTAACCTGTGGAACTCTTTACCTCAAAACGTTATTGACAGCCAGAACTTAGGAGAAATTTAAAAGATTAGCAGAACTCAAAAAGGGGTTAAGCACTGACATGGGTAGCAACTTCCAGTTTCATAAACGGTGGTATAACTTTAAAAAGGGATGTAGTATTCAGGGCAACCATTACTCACTTGACATTAGGAAAAAACTTCCCTTATGAGCAGGTTATTTTATAATTGTCTATTATGTGTATTTCACACATTCCTGTGAAGTATCCGGTATTAGCAACTGCTGGAGATTGCATAGTTGACTAAATAGACCATTACTCCAATACACTTGGTGAAGTCCTGTGTTGTACAGGGAGTGGAATCAAAGTCCTGAATTCTAATCCTGGCTCTGCCAACAACTTGCTATGTCAGGTTGAGCAAATGGCTTCGCTTTCCTGTCTGAGCTTCCCTAAACTATAAAATGAGCACAATGGCAATTTCAAACCTATATGTAAAACAATATAAAAATGCTAAGTACTATTATGATGTTCCTAGGTGACAAGGAGCCCTCAGTTTCCTCTCTTCCCAGGTGGTTGTAAAGAAGAGAATGTGTACGCGTGTTCATTCTAGTAGCCCCTTTCCTCATGGCTGCAGTGGGTAGGGATCTCAGGGTAGGTCTGCATTCTAAACTTACATCAGCACAACTACGTCACTCAAGGGTGTGAAAAATCCACACCCCTGAGCAATGCAGTTATACTGATCTAACCCCCAAGGTAGACAGCACTAGGTTGATGACAGGGTTTCTGCTGCCGACACAGCTACCGCCTCTCATGGAGCTGAATTAGCTTTCTTGTCAGTGTAGTCACATCTTCACTGAAGCACTACGGCACTGGTGCAGCTCTGCCACTGCAGCATTTTAATTGTACACCTGTCCTAAGAGCATCAGACTGCTCAGTGCTGCCTAGACTGCCCCAGGAGTCAGGCAAAAGTGGAAATACTCTTTAGAGCAAAGCTTCATTTGCATTACCTGTTGTCAGCAAGAGGGAACCAAATGCTGATCAAATGTGAAGTCTGGATGAGTGTGACATCCCTAGCTCTTGAGCAAAATAAAATCTAAGTATTTAACATACTATCTTAATGGATTACATTGAAGGAAGCTACCTATCAATAAATTTTTTGCCAACTACCTTATATAGTCAGTTTAATACCAAAGAATCATAGTTCACATAATTATTCATTGGGGTAACTTCATACAACACATTGACTCGAAATATGCTAGCAAGCAGAGATGCAGTTTTATATTAAATTTGATCCAAGATAAAAATGTTCACCGACACATGAACAGGATCAGTAACCTCTGGTAAAATATATTCTTTATCTTCAGATTAAGGGTTATGCCACTTTATTTGTGCTGAAAATATATATTATTGTACTGTGAAATGCAACAGACTAGCTACAAAGGAAATCAGGAAGGAAAAGATTTTAAAAGTTCTTTCAGCACATCTTATCAAAACAGCAGTGTTAAATCCCACTTAAAACAAAGCTTACGGCAGACTCAGATTTAAGGCGGCTGACCAAGCTCTTTGTGATACCATTTGCTGAGTGCGACATACCTTACATTCCATGCAGTGGTGAAGTCTGGGTTTAGTAGTAGCAGCGTACATGTGATATCTATCAATTCTAAAAGATTTAAAAAAAAAAATCCATGAATGATTAACAGTGGTAAAATAAAACATCAAAACTTCTCCCCTCTTTATGCCCCCATACTTTTTCAAAGCCTCTTCTCTCTGACTCGTTCTTATTGCAGTACACCTCTGGGAAATATTGCTGAGTTCCAGTCCAGAGAAAGAGGTAGCTCAAACTGGAAGGATGACACACAGTTGGTTTAGTTTCTTCTCCTTCCATGTTGAGTACTTAAAATAAGTACCCACCTCTTGGGTTCACTGACCTCTACAAACTCCACTATAATGACTTGGAATCATGGTTCTCCTCCCCCTGGACAACTATGATTCAAAAAGACAATATTCTTACGTGAATTAAAAGCTACTGGATAGCTCTGAAACAGAGAGCTTGTATGGGATCTTTGAGCATTCTAGTCCATTTAGTTATTAAAATTGAAATACACTGTGTGACTTAAACACATGCAAAGTTCTTAAAATTGTTGAAAAATTGTTGATTGAGATCTTAACACTCAAAACTACAATCATCTCCTGGAACAGCAAAACTCTTTAAGAACTCTGCACTGCAGATAGCAATTCGCTATAGCTATTCTATGCTACATACTTTTACCTGCAACTAAATAACCACTACAAAAATTGCACCTATGGAAGGGGAAAATCCCCTACAACTATGGATTAGTAACAGAGAACATCAAAAATTTAGTAAGTTGCACAACTATGTAACAGAAAATATTTTTAAAAGACTCTGAATAGGCTGCCTCTCCAAAGATTGAGATACTGTGACTAATCACTAAATAAGAAACAGACATACCCATAAACATTTGTTTTTCTACTCCCCTTTAGACACTGCAGACTCTAAATTTCTACATATATTTAATGATGTAATAAAACTGGAAGCAGCTATGTGGGTGGCTGACAAACAGAAGAGTTATTCTATTCTAGCCTTTCCTTTCCTTTCCCTCCTGTATTTTGCTGCACTAATCAATTAGTTTGATGCCTACCTAGGTAAAAAACACTTAGTGTTATATGCCACCTCTCATAAAACACAGTGATAATTCTCAGTGTCTCAGGTTTGGTTCTTTAACTCTTTCTTCCAAAAGTCACAAAATCAGGTCAATTAAATCTTCCCCGGCATTACAATTCTTAAATATAAATGAGCTGGGTAAGAAGCAGCAGCAGTACACAGATACTCTCCAAAATACAAGCAAAATTATCAGTGCTTTTGCTCGCAAGACTGTTAGTCTGGATTCTTAACTGTTCAATTTAATTTGAATAATATATTCAAAAGGTTGTAACACCAAAGTAATTTGCCAACAAAACAAGTTTTTTCAGTTCAGCTGCATTCTCATGAAGGAGAAGCACTGGATTACAATTTGTTTTAAGAAAAAAGAGCTAGGGATGGGGAGAAAAAGCAAAGGGTATATACAGGGAGCTAAATCCATGGATGGTTCAGTTAAGATGACTGGACATACAGAAAACTAGTAATTAACTGACTATATGTAACTACAATGGGGAACATTAATCTCCAAAGGCCCAGGGTGGTCCACAAGCAATTCTCTGTGCAAGCCTAGCCAGATGCACCCTTCATTTGGGATTTCTGCCAGAGAAAGGTGAATTTAATCACATGAAATTCCATAGCCTTGGCCATCAAGGCTCCTGTCTAGGAGCCTGATGCAGTGAACCAGTGCATCCGTTGGCACCTTATCAATATGCTCAAGTGCAGCCAGCACCACCCACAGTTACATAAAACTTGGAAAAAAATAAATTGCGTATTAGAGATGAGCCAAAGCCCTGTATCTGGATTTTAGGGGTTTGGGCAGACTGGGACCTGAAACCAGCTCATGTAGGCCCCGATCCAGCAAAGTACTTAAGCACATGCTTAATTTTAAGCATGTGAATAGTCCTATTAAAGTACATGGGATTATGCATGTGCTTAAAGTTAAACATGTGATTAAGTACTCTGCTGATTACAGGTCTTATGGTTTTGGTTTTGCTAACCCAAAACTTGACCAACAAGGCTTAGCAAAAGCACTGCTGGTTTTATCCATTACTAGATCACCACAAGCATCAAGGGATGAAACAAAACCAACTCGGGGGTGCGCAGTAAGATGTGGCTGCTTCAGACACACCTTTTTCACAATAGCTTCTGAAAAATGAGAAGCAAATAAGACAATGGAATATTTAAAATAGTGGTTCCCAAACTGGGGTTCATGACCCCTGGGGGTTCACGAAATGTTACAGGGGGTTCTCGGGAAAAAAATTCCCTAATGGTGGAAAGAGCTGTCCCTAGGGACCCCGGGCAGCACAGGGCCAGCAGCCCAGAGTTCCTGGACTTCCAAGAGCTAAGCAGATCAAAGCAAGCATATCTATCACACTGAGGAGATTTAAACTTCAAGACTCCCTATAAGAAATGGAAAGGGAGGTGGATATTTTTTGCTGTTTTTAAAATTAAATAGGCAGCTAGTATTGTTTTTAAAATTATTATACAGAACAAGTTTAAGCTTTGTTGTAACGTGCATTGTTTGCCTGGACTGCTCAAGACCTGAATGCTTGTGTAGGACGAACTCTTTGAGTTGGCTTCTTAAATACCTTCATGCTGTTTCACATCTGATACTCCTTGATGAAACATAGGAGCCTTGTCTTATTACAGGCTTATTCAAAGCTTATACAAGCTATGAAAGTGAGATCTTGGAAGAGTGTTGCCATTTTCATAAATGTAATAAAAATACCGTAATGATAAATAATAATTAATAATAAATAGTGTGTAATAAGCATGTCATAAAAACAAATTTTATATTTCGAAGATCACTGCTTTTATTAGTTATGCTCATGTAAAGGAGAAAATCTCTGGAAATATTCGTTTTTAGAAGGGAGTTTGCAAGGCTTGACATCTTAGTGAAAGGGGTTCACAGGTTGTTAAAGTTTGGAAATCACTGATTTGAAATATTTATTTATAGTTACAGACATGATAAAAGGCAAAAACTCAAAAGCTCTGATTACACCACCATTACTTAAAAATCACGTTATACAAACATGTCAGCCTTATCCTCTTTCAAAATAGATCAAGAGAATAGAGGAGATAATGACTCTTCTAAAGTAAATTCACCACAAATGCAAGATTCATCTAAGCAACCTACTAGATGGCAAAATGGTAAGGAAGAAAATACAGAGATGGACATACATCACTGCTAAACATGAACTAGCATAACTCCCCCACTTGGGCAGTTGGGATTTTCATATCATTCTCTGATGGTTTCTCCAATCTGTGATTATTAAAACAGAAAAATCTCTTGAATGTTCAGTATTATAAACTGCAACCTCCTTTCCTCTCAAGACAAGAAAGAGCCCTGAGCATCTTATTTTGTACATTAATAAATAAATGTTTAACCTAAGGTATTACCAATTCCTGCAATGTGACTCATCACTGGTATGGTATGTTTTCCTCCCTTCGTCCATTCTTTAAGTAATATTGTAGGTGTGGCAGGCAGCACTGCCTATCATTAAGGTTGCCTCACATACCCATTATAAGACCCTATTTTCAGATGCTTGTAACTTGGCCAAACTTTAACCATTTGGGCTGAATTTTCCATGCTGGATAGCTGTGTCAGGCTGAAAGTTTTTGGAAAATTTCACCCAGAACAGTTCAGCTGTTTCTGAGAACAAGGCTAAGAAAAAATACATTTTGCCAATATAAAAAAAATTGAAATTGGAACATTCTCTTTGAAATACTCTAGTGCCCCCATACTCCGGAGCAGAGATTAGAAATTTGCAAGGAGCACCCTTGTGTGTCAGGAATGTGCCTTTTTCCTGTCCTTGTGAAAATCCACCCAAATTTGGCCAAGTTGTAAACCCCTGAAAAAGACTGCAATTTGAACTTGCTCGATAGGTGGGGCCATGCACAGGAACTGAGAATAGAGAGCATGTCTCTCCTGTGCTCTCAGTGCCCCCCTAGCTGGCACTCAGGAGGAGAAAACCATCTGCTTCAAACGCATATGGAACAAAAAACAGACCAAGGGAAGGGAAAGGACTAGTTTAAGACAAGGAGTCTGGTAAGACTGGCACTGGAGGAGGAGAGAGAAACTAGCTTGGAAGCCAGGAGGAGGAGAATGACTGGGAGCCAGTGGGGGATATTGTGGAGGGAGAGCACAGACTGCATGAGGAGCTGAAGGGAGACTGGCACTGACTGGTCAAGGATACTATGTTTGGGTGTGGGGACAGGGAGGAAAACTGGAAGTCAGTGGGGAGATTGGGACTTAGCAAGCCTCAAGGAGGAAAGTAGGATTGGCTGGGCCAGGATACTGGTACTAGGATGCACAGACAACCTTAATTCTGGCTTTTTCCTAGCTTTTGAGTGCTTGACTTTAAAAATCATTGTTAAGGTTGCAATGTTGTTTTTGTGTGTAATTATTACGTAGCATCACTATACAAAGGGTCAACTGTGATAAAGAAAATTTTAGCTAAGCTAAATTGGACATTAATTAAGCTAAAATAGTTTAAAAAACAAACTTTGTTTATACTTGATGTGGATGCACTTGCCAAACTAATGTTAATTAATCCTATTAAGAATTACAACCATGTATCAGACAAATTTCCAGGTTAGTGCATCTTATTATGTCAAGGATCAGGAACACCACCAACTTGAAATCTAGTCAGTTTAAATGGAATAATAACTGAAGAGTAAGATTAGTTTCAGACATGACACTTCTGTCCCTCTGTCATTTTTTGTGGTTTTACAATCACATTTTACTATGTTAAAAACATTTCACCCCCTAATGCCACGTGAAAAACCCACAAAAACAAGGGAAGCCAATTGACTATACAGGGAATAGGGTGAAACTATACAAAAATTGTTGTCAAATGCATGAAGAGGACAAACAAAAAAAGTACTTAGAGTCATCTTAGCCATTACTTGCAAAAATAGCAGATTTTTTTCTGTGAGAAGTGAGGGTTTTGAACCTATGGTTCCCTTTATGAATTTTAGGGGCATTTTTTGCCATTCTT